TAACCACCAATCACTACATTACATTCTATTGGTAACCACCAATCACTGCTTTACATTCTACAGGTAACCAACAATCACTGCATTACATTCTATGGGTAACCACCAATCACTGCATTACATTCTATGGGTAACCACCAATCACTGCATTACATTCTGTGGGTAACCACCAATCACTGCATTACATTTTAAGGGTAACCACCTATCACTGCATTGCATTCTATGGGTAACAACCAATCACTGCATTACATTATATGTGTAACCACCAATCACTGCATTACATTCTATGGGTAACCACCAATCACTGCATTACATTCTATGGGTAACCACCAATCACTAAATTACATTCTACAGGTAACCACCAATCATTGTGTTACATTCTATAGGTAACCATCAATCACTGCATTACATTCTATGGGTAACCACCAATCACTGCATTACATTCTATGGGTAACCACCAATCACTGCATTACATTCTCTGGGTAACCACCAATCACTGCATTACATTCTATGGGTAACAACCAATCACTGCATTACATTCTACAGGTAACCACCTATCACTGCATTACATTACAGAGCTATGGATGGGTGACAATCTATACTTTGAGATCGCATTGCTTTATATGAGTAAAAATGTTTCTTGTGGAGTAAACATCAATTTTGTCTTGGGGGAAATTAATTTGAAGACATTGCATTCTATGGGAAACTAGAATTCATTATTTGAAGACTACAATACATCCTATGGGAAACTAAAATTCATTATTTGAAGACTACAATACATCCTATGGGAAACTAAAATTCATTATTTGAAGACTACAATACATCCTATGGGAAACTAAAATTCATTATTTGAAGACTACATTGCAGCCCATAATACACATTCATACAGATAAAACAGGATGAACGATAAACACGAATATTGCAGTACCAGAGAAACATACAACACGTTGATTTTTTTTTGTACATCAAACTTTAATATCGAGAAAATAGCTAGTCATTAACCAATCAAATATGACGTATTATAATTAAGCATTTAAAAGCTACCAATCACTTTGAGTGATGTAAATTGCTTCAGGTGAGAAGTAAAATTACAAATTTGCCAATAATTTACACCAAGGTCAGTATTCAGTGTAAAAAAATGACAGCAGGCATTGAAAACATTTAATTTCAAAATTTTACTAAAGGCTTAACTTAAAAATAATTATTTGTTGCATCAGGTGAGTAAATTAAAAACTGTCAACAATTTGATGATTTCATTCCTCAGACATGTACCTATCATTGGCGGTAAAACCTTAATGAATAAAACTGAAAGGCACTTGCAATCATCACACATTATTTTAATTGATCAATAATGCATATTATTATGATTCACATTATTAAGGTATGTCCTATATTGTATGCGGGGTAGTCTGGAGAATACAGAAGACCTGATAAAAAGGGCTAGCGTGACAACACTGCTCTTATAACTTTACTCCAAGGAACTCTTAATGTCCAACAGTCAGTCAGTTTATGCCAAAGTTGTCAGTCATATTACCAGTTGCTACAATTTCCTCCATAAAAGATAAAAAACACTCCAGTGTAGTATAAAATAATGACTCTCCATAGATTTAATATTCAATTCTCTGCAATACAATACCTAATCCTTTCTCATGGCAAGCCTAAGGGTTATAGCACTGTACAATCAAATTCATTTTCATCCATTTTCTTTTTCCATTCATTTTGATCTTTTCATATCTCATGGTCAATTATGCAATGCATACTAGGAGAGAATTTTCATTGAGTATAATGGGGAAAATAATTTTCACAAAAAAATCAGTAAATTTGTAATAATATTAGGCTTCATGTGAAGTATATTCAACTCAACACTTTGAGCACCAAAATTAACTACTGTCACTATTCACAGAATAAACCTTACAAATACATTTTAATTTTTTTAGCAAATAAACATAAAATTATGTCAATTTGGTCCAAATATTATTTAAAAATGAATACAAATGTGCAAATTGTTGCACTAAATTTTGGTGTGAAAACTATGGTGTCCAAAAGGGTGCAGACCATTTCAACAGGCACAGTTTGTAGATATGAAATACAAGTAAGATACAATAAAACATGTTGCAATTTTCCATTCAGATTCTTATTTCTGAAAAAGTCTGAATTTCATTTTCGGCATCTCAATTACCTTGGATCCACATTATTAAAAGAGCATGTCATAATTGTTAATTCAGTGCCAATTTTTTTAAATCATTCACACTCAGCAGGTAGAGGTCAGGATTTATGGACATAGCTGTAAGTGTAAAGCATTAACCACAGCCTCTCTGCAGCACCTTATGGTTACCACAAAAATCTACAGTGAAATACACTTTCAATGCTTTCTTTAAACAGATAGCGAAATAGCCAATCTGTGGGAACCAATCAAACAGCTTGTCCTATAATTGATTTGGATCAACAATACAAGATGGACATACTTCTTGACAACTTGTGAGTGGTTTGTTTAACATTTGCACGCTTTACAAACACCACAAGTTAAAGGACCAACAGCTGAATTTTGTTGTTAATTTATTTATATTAATACTGAACCAAAATGAGTGTTGCGGTAGCAAAGAAATATAGCATACACACACCCAGTAGTGTTAATTCCATCAGAACAAATCACAATACATTAAGGTGTGGAACACAAATGATTAATTACGTGCACATTCAGGTCACATGTCACAAACACCCACCACAAGTCAATAAAAGCTAATGCAACTTCAAGTTATTTCTTTCATGTTTTATTTGTTTCTTTAAACTTTATTTATTGTGGATAGCCTTCATCCAGATCCCATGGGGGTTAGTTTAAGTCTTGGAACTATCCAAACTATGGTATCTAGGACAGTCTGTAAGATGTATCGAGTGACTCGTCATGTATAAAAACAAAATATTTTTACAACAGAAAACTGAATTACTGTCTATTGTGTAATTTTAAGTTTAATAACAGGTGACTCAGTACCAGTAAACATGAAAAAGTTTAATATATTGTCAAGAATGTTAGCAATAAGTTGAAATGGTTTCAAAAAAGTGAGCAGTCAGTTCACATCTTCATAGTATACCTGAATAAAATACAGCACCTCATGGGGCTATTTATGACATGT